GGGGCGGGGGTGCATGGAGGGATGGACACAGGGAAGAGGTAATGGGAGAAGTGGGAGGGGAGCTGTTGCATTGTGGTAAATTGTAGTCAATGTCATGAGACAAAGTGTATGTGAAATGCTGTATGGAAAGTGAATTTGCTCTGTAAAATTTTACCCAAATCACAATTAAAAAAGAAAAAGAAAGAGGCTAGGAGCCTCTGCACTGCTTGTCTTCTGTTTATTTTTGTCTTGATTGTCTTTCTGCAAATAATAGGAAAACTCATACCACTTCATGATTGATGTAGATGGTACAGGATGTATAAGTTTGGAAAGCAATCTAAATTCCCTACAAATTCCTATTCTGCCCTCTTTAACATGCATCAAGACTATACTCAAGACATCCTGTCAAGACATACACAGGAACACATCCACTTATTCTTAATAATCTATCAGTGATCCACCAACCCAATTATTAACTGAATTAAACCCATTGCTATCAAGCTGATTTTGACTCATGTTGACCACATGTCGTACAGAGTAGAACTGCTCCCTAGGGTTTCGTGGCTGTAATCTTTATGGAAGCAGATCACCAGGCCTTTGTTGGGCAGCACTGCTAGTGTGTTTGAACTCTCAACCTTTAGGTTAGTAGTTGAGCACGGACCTTTTGTACTGCCCAAGGACCATGACCCAATTACAAGGTACATATATTCTTGGTGTTGGGTCTTTACTCTAATGTACAAATAAGCCAGTTGTCACCAAGTTGATCAGACATATGTGTCAGAGTAGAGCTGCGTGCTATCGAGTTTTCAAAGGTTGATTTTTTTTTTTGAGTAGTGTACCAGCCCCTGCTTCAGAGGCACCTCTGAATGGACCCCAATCACCAAACTTTCGGTTAGCAGCTGTGTGTTTAACTGCACCACCCACATACTCCAAAATGTCACACATAAGAAATTGTAAAATCAAATATAATAAAAATTTTAAAAGCCCATGCATCTTAATGTCAAATGCATAGAATAAGATGAGAATGATAAGAAGTTAAGAAGAGTCAAAATGGGTTTGGTAGACTTAAGTGGCTGAAAAAATGTGTAAAAGAAAGAATAGGATTTTGAAGAATTTCAAAAGGTGGGAAAGAAAGAACCAAAGATGGAGAGACAGCATAGGAAGTATTCAGAGAAAAATAAGCTACACGGGTTTGACCAGAGCAAGTTTGTGTAGGAAAATATGAGATATAAACCTTAAAAGGCAGGTTAGGATTAGATCAGCAAAGCCTTGACTACTGGGCTCAGGGAATTAGACTTCCTCCTGCAGGCAATGAAGAGTGTTTGAGGGTTTTTGAAATAGTGTTATTGCAAGTGGTGTGTTTAGAAAAGTAGCATATTGAAGGGATCAGAGGAGTGAAGAGTGATGATAGGAGAGAAGTAAGAATGATCTGTAAGATCAGGAGATGGAAGGATTCTCTTAGAGGGAATAAAGAAAAAGAGAGAATTTGGATCTTTCTAGAACAAGAAAAAGAATCATTATATTTATTATTATACCTATTTTTTCTGGGATTCCCATTATGAATTTTCCAGCATTGACTTCAAGTGGTCAAGCTATGCTATGTTGTTAATAAATATTGTTGCAAAACTAGTTTGTGTATAGTTAAGTTTAGTGTTTGATGCTGTATGGAATGAAAAGAAGCAGAAATTATGTTTCATGGCAAAGGAATTTTCAGGCTTAATAAGAATGGGGGAGAGACTAGCGTGTCAATTAGCCAGAAATGTGAAAGGATCACGCAATAAGTTCAACGTAATCTGTACTGTAGCACTTCTGAAAAATGAAAAAGAAAGATCACTCTGGGTTGAAGTATAATTAGACAGGCCAGAGGCACAGAAGAGGGAGCAGTCACACTCCCAGGTCGCTGGGATTCTGACTAGCCAAACGGACACTTTGTTCAGTTCTGCGAGAGTTCTTGTTTCCACACAGTCTCATCCTTCTGTATCATACAATGCTATCTACCTCTTTCTTGCTCCTCCTTCCCTCAGACCTAGTAGCAGCAACTCCCAGGAAACAAATGCAATTTCACTTCTTACCCTCTGACAAACTGGAAGCATTCTCTATAGGATCAATTTGCCAAAGGAACTGGTAAAGAAAGAAATCCCATGACTGAGAATGGGCAGGGGAGGAAATGAGAGATGGGGAAACGACATGTGCTTTTGTCAAGTGGCTGTCATGTGCCAGGTACTGTGTGAGGGTGTAAGGACATAGTAATAGTGAAGAATGGGATGGCTAAGATGTTCTGTCCCACCACGGAGGTTATAGACCCCACCGATGGGGTTTGTTGTTGTTGTTGTTGTGTGCCGTTGAGTCGGACCCAACTCATAGCAACCTCTCCTTGGGTTTCAGAGGCAGTTTCACTACGGAAGTGAGAAGGAAAAAAGAAAGAAAGAACTACTTGATACTAGGCACTTTAAACATATTATTTCATACAGTTCTCACCACATTTCCTTTTTCCTTCCCAGATGGGGAAACAGAGGTTACACGAGGGAGAATAAATTATGAGTGGAAGAGCAGGAGAGATTTAAACCCGGGTCTTCTGACTTCATGGCTGATTTTTTTTCCCCCAACATGATACTTCCATGCACACACATGAACACACATATAGGGGTCAATCCTGGGAAAACTGGCATAAGGAAAAGAGAGTTATTTTCATACTATTCTCCTTGTTTTTATCTTTTACCTTTTATCTTTACTGCAGAAGGGATTGCACTATACTTGAGATGAAGACATTTTCTCTGCTACTGCTGGATCTGGGGTTGGTTCTCGTAGGAACCACAGGAAGCACAGTGTCAATAATTGAAGAAGAATTTCTAGGGGAAGAGATGGAATATGACACAACAAAAAGTGGTCAAGAAGAACAGACCATTGAGGTATTAATGAACTTGACCCTGTTAGGTAAAAATACCGGCCTCAGCATGTCCAAGGATATTATATATTCCTCATTATTGACACTGGAAAGGCTACAGTATAACTTCACCAAAGAAAACAGTCAAGGTAATGGCAAAGAGCATTGCAATGCCATGGTGGTCTGCAGAATTGTGTCAGAAGCTAATGGGTCATGCAAGTTGAGAAATATCTTTGTCCATGGCTCCATAGAAATGATCCATGGAATCCACAAGTTCCCTAATTGCAAGTGTGCACTGAATCTTGATATGCTTCGAGGCAATATGGTGGAACCAAATCGCTATGAAAGCCCAGAACGGGAGACCACTATGTGCCAGCTCACTGCAGGAAAAGAATTCCCCAGATGCCAATACCACAGTGTTACCTCATTAACGAAGATGCTGACAGTGCTCACAGGTCATTCTCTAATGAGCTGAATAGTTAGCGTCTCTAAGTTGTAAATCCCACAGGACTTTGAGAATAGGGTCTTTCTAAAGAAGGGAATACTCATACTTATTTCTTTCCTTCTATTATCCCCATCTACCCTCTAGCACCATAGTAAACTCTTGATTATTTATACTAATTGAGTGAAAAATCCAAAATTGTGGGTAATTCAATTAAAATTTGTAACTGCTCCTGAAGTTCAGATTCTCATTCGTTCTCTCTCTCTTACACACTCTTTCTCTCTCTGTTTGTGTGAACCAAACCATCCTACTTTAGCTATAAAGCCAAAGGCTGAGTATACCGGCCCAGACAGAATTAAGGGAAGAAGATGCAAAGGCAACATGGATAATTGAAAAGTAGTTGTACTGCCACTGGGGAGCTCTGCTGGCGTAGTGACTAAGGCATTTGACTGCTAACCAGAAGGTTGGCAGTTCAAACCCACCAGCCACTCCTCGGAAGGAAGACTGGACAAAATACTTCCGTAGATATAACACCTCAGAAACGCAAGGAGGGGTCGCTATGAGTCAGAGACGACTTAACAGTACATAACAACAACAACACTGCTTCTGGAATTATTCAGAGAAATAGTCAATTAATGTGGAAGGCATTATTATCATTGTTTTCCTTTCTCAAAAGCCAATTGCACTGATGCGTGCATACAAATATGGGTATCTACCCTGCAACCATGGGTCTGCCTGTCCTCCATCTCTATGCAATCTCATGTCTCTACCCTCATCCATATCTGTCTCATAAGTTTCTGTAAAGGAAAAAAAAAATAAAGGTCTTGATGCAATTTTTACTCCAGCATAGTCTTGATACCCTGGGGTCTGTGGGAAAGGAATGGCAAGCCATAGGGAAGTAGAGGAGGTAGCAAGACGGAAACAGGAAGTCTATCAAGGCCAAACGTGAAGTAGGATTGCACTTCAAATCTGTTGCTTTCTGACTTTCTAGAAAACTGTTTTTCACTACCAGTTGTTTATGTATAAGTCTTCATGGTTCAACTCTGTGTAGAATATAGCAGTTATCTTGTTCATTAATTTACTCCTATCTGCTCCTGTTTTCTCATCTTACATCCTCCCTCCATTCTGAGATCAGTTTTAAATAAATGCATGTAAAATAAATGTTCCATCATTGTAATGTTTTTCTTGTTGTGTGTCATTCCTTATCAATTTTCCTAATTTTTTTTTTTCACATTTGGTATGGAATTCTTATTATATTGATGTTATAAAACTGACAATAAACAAATATGTATCATTACAGCAGCATTTTTTTTTTAAACTTTTAGTTGGGATTTCCTTCTCTTTTTAGTGTGATGGCTATTTAAACAATCACTAAAGACTTGGCCAAATAGGTATATAGTTAGCACTCAATTTGTATTTGCTAACTACAGGAAAGGATGATACAGGGAAATGCCTGGGACCAATAGTCTCTTCTCTGCAGGAGGAGAATTCAGGGCCCAGGAAGGGTGATGTGTTCAGTGGGTTCCAGTCCAGGAGTATTTCCATATAGTGACACCAATGGTACCTCTCATTCACCAAAGAGGAAGTACAGTGGGCTCCATCCACAACAGAGCAATTCAAGAGTCTCCTTTTGGTTCCAATTTAGTTCAAATTTTAGTTTCAATTTGGTTTTAATTCAAGTAACTCCTTTCCTACAGCAGGAGTTCCACCTCTGGCTGACAGGCATGTCAATCCCTGAAACAATATTCATACAAGAATTTTTTGGCTTATGTAAGAAAAAACAAATCCAGCCTAGTTCAGAATTTAGTACAGATTTCTTCCTTCCCCAGGAAAGAAGAGCAAAGATCTAGAAGATATCTATTTCTAGGTGAGGAGCATCCTTTAAAACAGGCTTAATTGAGACCATACCTTCCTACATTTCTGAAAGAACTAGAGCTCTGGGTTCCAATCCCTTCATGCCCTGATCTCCCAGCATCTACTCGACTCATAATCATGCTATTAAGTTTGAAACATGCTGTATGTGGAGGTGCCCTGGAGAGCAGGCACCTGAGTGCTAATACTTCTTATGCTCTAAGCCTGTCACCTCCTTGACATAATGTACACCCTAAGGCCCTTCATAATGATATGAACAAGGGATTTCATATTTTAAAAGACTAAGTGCTCATAATGTCAATTTTCTACTCTTTTTTATTTTTCCTTGTAGTTTTACATCTAAATCTCTGAGGCTGGCTTTCAAGGCCTCTAGGACTCTGTTCTCATCTTACCTACCTTGTCTTCAACACTTGTCTGGGCTCTGTTGTTTTGAGGCTGCTTTCTTCACAGTTGACAGAATCTACTGTGCTTATAGTGACCCTATAGGACAGAGTAGAATGTCCCATAGAGTTTCCAAGGTTGTAAATCATTACAGAAGCAGACTGCCACATTTTTTCTTGTGGAGTGGGTGGTGGGTTCGAACTGCCAACCTTTTGCACTTTTACCATAGCACCACCAGGGCACCTCGATTCACTTGTAGGGTGGGATTATATCGATGCCCTTTCGTTTCCCTTTCTCATTGCATCAGCTCAGCCCACACATTCACACAAGCTCCACCTGACTGGAAATAGCCCAGTAAGTGTCCCTGGAACTTGTGAGAAAAGTAACTGAGAGGTAGACATGTGTTATATTACTGTTACTGAACGGAAAAATTAGAGGGAATTAAATGAGGTGACAAAAGAGATAGTCGAAGACTAAATGTGTCAAGGAGCCAATAGACACGTAGGAGAAAGTAAATTGGGAATAGAATAGTGATTCGGCAAAGTGATTCTGGGAAAGTTCTTTAGTGTAAGATAGGTGCCCTTCTTGTCGCCAACCATTCTATTTATTTTCTCAATATCAAGTGTCCTAAAATTCCCTTAACCAATTCTGTAATGAAAGTCCCTGGTCTTAAGTGCCAGGAGGGTACTGAAGGAAGGAGAGCCTTTATGACGTCATAGATAAATTCCCATGTTTTACTGCCTTGCCATCACCCTTGAGTAATTCATTTAACATCACTGTGACTCACTTCTTTATATAAAAAGTGTGGAGTTTGGGTCAGGTCTGTGATCTCAGACTTAGGCGTGTGTCATAATCATTGTGGCAAAGCTTTCAGGTTGTCCATCCAAACCCCCCTCCCTTGCCCTCAAGACAGTAGTCAGACTTCCTGTCCCAGGCTTTCTGAGTGAAGTAATGTGTGCTATATCTGGGTCCAGATCTTCACAGACCAGACTGTCTTCCTCTGTGGTTTTTAGTGCAGATGATGATATTGTCCTAGGGATGGCCTGAATAGCAAAGTGGAAAGCTGCCACATAGCAAAATAGAAAGGTGCCACATCCCTGAGTAACTGTATAAAGCAGAGCTGTCTTGTCAACCTGAACTGCTCTTCTTGAGAGTGTTCTACGATAGAAATAAATATTTGTGTTCTTACACCAAGTATAAGGAGCTCTGGTAGCATAGTGGCTAAGGCACTTGCCTGCTAACCAGACGGCTGGTGGTTCAAACCCACCAGCCACTCCTCGGAAGGAAGGTTGGGCAATCCTACTTCCGTAGTGATACTGCCTCGGAAACCCAAGGAGGGGTCGCTATGAGTAGGGGCCGACTCGACAGCACATAACAACACCAAGTATATTGTTTCAGAAGCTTAATGTTACCTTAGTTAATTCAATAACTTTGTTGTTAGGTGCCATCAAGTGATTTCAATTCTTAGTGATTTCATGTATAACAGAATGAAACACTGCCTGGTCCTGTGCCAACCTCACAATTGTTGCTATGCTTGAGCCAATTGTAGTCACTGTGTTAATACATCTCGTTGAAGGTCTTCCTCCTTTTCGCTGAACACGTACTTTACCATGCATGATATCCTTCTCCATGGACTGGTCCCTCCTGATAACATGTCCAAAGTACGAGAGGTAAAATTTTGCTATCCTTGCTTCTAAGGAATATTCTGGTTGTACTCCTTCCAACGCAGATTTGCTCATTCTTCTAGCAATCCATGGTACATTTTACATTCTTTGCCAGCACCACAATTCAAATACATCAATTCTTCTTTGGTCTACCTTATTCATTTCCCAGTTCTCACATGCATAGGAAGCAATTGAAAATAACATGGCTTGTGTTAAACACATCTTACTCTTCAGAATGACATCCTTCCTCTTAAACTCTTAAAGAGGTCTTTTGTAGCAGATTTGCCTAATGCAATACATTGCTTGATTTTAATACAACCCCCTGGACTCTACCCTAGGAGATTTGGTTCTACAGATCTGAGATAGGACTTTAGCATGTGGTTTTTTGTTTGTTTGACAAGTGTGTTAGGTTTTCTTATGTGCTTCAAAGTTTCAATGTCGCTGAATTACATTAATAGAAGTTTGAATTCTAGTTATAAAACATTCGAGTACCAATTAGGGAAAACACAGTTTTTGAGGATAGCACTGGGACAAAACAACCCAGTTTAACTCAAAGAGCATTGTTTTGGTTCCCTAGTGCTGCTGACGGGAACATACCACAAATGGAATGGCCTTAACAAACAGGAGTTTATTCTCTTACAATTTTGGAGGCTTTAAATCTGACTTCAAAGTGCCTGGCTCTAGGGGCTGGGTGAAAGCCCCTCAACCTTGGGCTTTAGCTCTGCCTCCTGCTCCTAAGCAACTGAAGCTAGAGGCTTTTCTTCACTCAGACAGCTGCTGACTGCTGAGGCTGACAAGCCCAAGGTTGACAAGTAAAAAGGCACAGTCTCAATGTTACCAAACAACATGGCGGGCCACTAATTCAAGTCCAGATGAAGTTCCAATATAGGCAGGGCATGGCAGGCTGTTGAACAACAACTTGGCTACACACAGGGTTCAAGCATGCCCAAAAGCTAGAGATCAATAGCAAAGCTTCTCCTTAAATGCAGGAAGCAGACCACATCCCGAAAGCAGCTACTCAGCTGCTCGCAGGAGATTCCACCATGGAGTTGATTGCCACTCTCATCATGGGGAATAACTACCTGCAGCTGCCCAGCCACTCAACCAAGCATAGCC